AAATTAAGACAATATATCTAAAAAAAACACATTTCACAATTAAAAAATTAAAATTAATTTTATTTGTATGACTCATTAATTTATAGATATATACAGTGGCGGATTTACAAGGGGAGGGGGGCAGGGGTTCTGGAATGTACAGAATATTTACTATTTATAAAAATATTATGTATCTTATGTACAAAAACAACACCATGGTACAAAATAGAATATATTAAGAAAAATTTAAATTGTTAGTTAAGTAAAGTTATAACCTTAATGTACCTAATTTAAATTAGTGACATTTTTTTGTTTATTTTGAAAGTTGAATACAAAGTCAAATAACAATAAAATATAAAATCGATATGTCATTCCCTCTAAAATATTATTCTCTATATTTTTTGTAATGGGTTATTTTACTATAAGATTACTTCAAAACATGGAAAATATGATTCCGCGTAAATGCGTTTTGTCAATGTTGCGCGTGGGGCCAGAGAGAAAAAACAAATAGTGTGCTCACATTCTCTTAATATAATATAAATTTTATAAATTTATATGTTTTTCTAATAATGAACTACCTATTACTTGAATTAAAATGTATCATAAATTGTCCTAATAACGAAAATGTACATACTTTTTTAATCTTGGTGAATTTGCTGCTACTTAGAGCTTTGCTGCTTGACATATCACCTGTAAAATACATTGATAATTAAATTATAAAAAAATTAAATAATACTAGGTATAGTATCTAATAGGAATCTATATTAAGCTCACGTTGACTTGCTTTATTTTATTATTTACAACAGTTTTTCTTACATAATATATTTTACTAAAACATATAAAAATAATAACTTTTTAAATAAATATTTACAGTTGGATACTGATGCATAATTATAAAAAGCTTATATTTAAACTGATTAATAATTAAATTACCTATACCATTTATAAATTTTATAAATTTATTATAGGTAAAAAAATATACAGACTTCATATCAATAATACAAAAATGTATTTATTTTATTCATTAAATACTGACCATCAACAAAATAGTTATAAATAAATTAGCGCGATAATAAATTAGTCCTAAATGAACGGAGGTGAATGCGGGCGTTCCTATTCTGACCATGCTGTCCTTGCAACGCGGCGAAATACAAATTACAAATTGTTTTGTTTTTCGCCGCGTTCACGTAGAACACAATGTATCCTCAAAACAACTCCTCAATGCACAAGTAATTATATTTAAATTTATAATATAGTAAAAATTTAAAATAAGTAGTAGGTGCATTAATATAATAAAAAATAATAGATAGGTAATGTATATTACTCAATACCAGTGGCAGGCGATCAGGCAATCGAGGTAAGCGCCGCAAGCCCGTTTAGAAACGAAAAAAACAAATTTATTTAATTTATGACGTAAATTTGCAATATTTCTTGTTGTAATGTAGGTTTTTTATTTTATATATAATATACTCTTTTCTGTATTATATCATATTCAAAATTAGAAAATTAAATTGTTTTGTTATAAAGGTACGCGATAAATTGACAGAGGATTTCGATTACCCGGCTCGTATCACTACTACAGTTGGCATGGTCGGGAGCGGTATGACTACTGTTTTACGCAGTAGTTGAAAGCGCTGCATTGAGCGATTATAAATACTTTTAGAAACGGATTTTCTAATACTAAACGTCTTTTTTAAGCACTAATACGCAACATAATAATGTTCATATTGTTGTACACGGAGTACGGACACAAAGCGTATGATTCCGTCACATAATATTTCTTTTTTGATATCTTTAGGTATTATTAAGTTTTAATAATTGTCAATTCTTTTTATTCCCGGGGTTTTTTTTATGTTTACAGCGTAAATACAGATATAGATGGTCGGGAGCGGGAAACGATCCATCAACAACACCTTTTATTTTAGATATGATTTTTTTTTTTTTTTAATGAGCGGTTACGTTGATAATTGTTATTTCGTCGATGATTATAGTAAAATGTTAAATGGTTGGGTTTAGTAATTCGTTTAGGAAGGAGGTCATTTGAGATGAAATGTTTTCGTTTTAATTACTTAAGTAGGTGCTGGAATTTATTATAATATGATTTGTTAGTGCCTGGTTTATGTTTGATATTGTAGCCTTTGAATAAATTTAACTTCTATTTAAGTGTTTGAGGGTGAGGTGATGTCGGATGGTCGGGTTTGACAATGTATTGGTTATATGATTTGAATTATCTTTTATTTCGTTTGTATTTGCTTTATTTATACATATATCACATGCTTAATACAACAGGTAGCTAGTGGGGAATTTCGAAGTTTTTGCTATAGATTTTTGAAAAATTGATATCCACAATAGTTGGTGGAGTGTTTCCATCAGGTTAGGAACATTTTGAGGGGGGGGGGGGTTGCGAAATGTAATAAAAGTGTTTAGTCGGTGGTCTTTGCCGCAACAGACACATCTAAGATGATTGGTTACAGAATGTTTTGGTGGAACCTCGGCATTTGCAGTTTAGACATTGAGCTATTAGGTGTCTGTTTTGTTGATTCGAGGTACTTCTATTTTAGTTTTAGTTTAGTATAAATATTTGAGTTACTTTGTTGTTGTTTAGTGCAGGTTCTAAATCATGAAAAAATAGGAGTAGGGATGTGTTGGATAGTCTGTGACGAGTGTAAAAAACCTTTTAGTTTAGTTTCACTTTTATATAGGTAGTTTAACTGCACGGTGGGATATAAATGTGGGATATTAATCAAATATGGTTTATTTTATTTTAAATTGATATGTGAACAATTCGGATTTTTATTAATTTAATAAATTTATGGTAACTCAGTTAACGCTTTGGTGAGGTACCTACTATACAGTTTAAGTATCTCGGTAAAGTGAATTCATTAGTTGGTTATACCTATTTCATTTTTATTTTTTCGTAAAACTCTTGGTAATTTAGTATTTTTAAATTGATGAATATTGGAGGCCGTAGAGGAAGTTTTGGGACAATTTCGTTCACTATAGTGGTTTCTATTTCTGTATCGTAATTTTGTGATGAACTTTCAAATCAATTAGGAGTAGAAAATTGTGTGTGTAGTACTGTTAGTAGTGCTTCGATCATATAGTATGGAGAAGTGGAGGACCCATGTCCGGATAACTTGAAGCACAGTATATAAGCGACGAGTCTCTGGCGGAGATATTTGATGTGGCCATGCGATCCCAAATGACGCATATCCCTTATCTATGTTAATTGATATAGGTGTTGTATAAATATAAACCAACAGCTAAATATACGACGGTTCACCTCACACATTTGCTTATAAGTTATAAAGCATCTCCTGAAGATAGGTACTCATGGATTATATTATGAGCTTCAAATTGTTTACACTGGCGAAATCGGCATGGCTCCCTCCATAGTCTATGGTGTAAGGTGTAAGGTGTACTGTGATGAATGTTGATTGTATTGATTTAGATAATTGTATTGATTTAGATATGGTGATTTTCCGGCTGAATTTAGATGTTTAAGAGGATTGCAAATGGACAATTATTATTCAACCAAAATGTACCAATATTTTGTCAATCATACCCATGGACCTGATAAGAATTCTGAAATCTGATTTGAATTCGTTAATATGTTAACTTGAGATCGATAAGGCAACTTTGTTAAAATTGTGTTCCTAAATTCCAGTACAATCTGCTTTAATTACAAAATTTGGAATGTTAATTATTAGAAAATTAAATTAAATATCTTAAAATGTGGCCTCGATCTCAAGTAGACTAGGAATTCAAATCAGTTTTCAAAAGTCTTATCGCGTTATCAGGTCTACCGGTAGGATTGACAAAACCGGAGTTTTTCCTGCGAAGATCCATTCGTACAAAAAGTACATTATTTACCGTTCACGTGCGCAACGTCGAAAAGGTGACTTGGGGGAGCGCCCCACTATTTCTTTTACACACGCTAATGATCACTTACTACGCACACATTTACAAAACCAGCATGCACACAATTTGGAAATTGCCTATTTTGAACTCCTAAAAAACTGTCCATTTACAATCACCTAAATATGTGAGTTAAGCTAAACGATCAGAGTCCACTTGAAATCAAAGATATGTTTTATTCTATAATTTTAATCAGTGGAACTACTGGTTTTAGTTTAACGCACGAAGAGTTCTGTTTGGTGGGGATTGGCGTACTTCTGTCCATTATAGATAGGTTGTGTGTTCAGGTGTGTGATTAATAAATGTTGTTTTCTGGAAATGGAAGAGGGAAAAAAAGAGATAGATGAAAGTCTATACTCTATACCCTTACAATTTTGATATAATTTATAGTTGATAAATAGGTACATGGAGGAGAAAAAACTTACATTAAATTATAGAGGCATTATTTATTAAGGGTGTGAATAGGATTCGATGATTATGACCATAGGAAGAGAAATGAGATGGAACTAGGAAGGGGATCGGATTTATGGAGAAAAATAAAGGTATACCGTAGTTAATTCTGGCAAGGAGAGCAAGTGCGTCATATAAAGCCATATAAAAAGAGGAAAGAAATCGAATGTTTGCTTCGTGATGACGATGACGTGAAGAAATAATCAACGCACGTTTGCAAGGGGGAGTAATCATGGTGAATGTGCTTAATTTTGATAAAATCGGCTAAGTACGAAAGTGATTGTCTTATACCCACTCAAGCCTTAAATGGTCCTTAGCAAGATAAGGATGCTAAACTATCGCACCATAATTATAACATATATTGAGCCCAGTATTGAGCGAATTTACACGAAATAAAAAGGATAGAGGCGGCAAACAGGGGAACTGAATGCTTTCGTGTTACGCCCGATAAAACGAAGGACTTTAAGAGCTTTACTAACTATAATATTTATATGATCAATTTCAAAAGTAAAATAGAGACCCAGATCTTAAAATTTAAAAACTCGTTCTAAAAGAAAGTTGTTTAATGAGTGAGCAATGGTAATGCATCTTCTATAGAAAGACATAACTTGGCATCTTCAAATATTAAGTTAAATTTGGGATATTTTGGAATATCAGCTCTGAAGAGCGTAAATGTTCAAATATATTTTTACGAAATCATCAGCAAAGAGAAGATTTTTGGCTTTAGTTATCCATTTATTAACTGAATTAACAAATAAAATGAAAAGGAAATGACTGAGATGATTACCTTTAAGTACGCCAGGTGGAACAGACAATGAAATTAAAGATTTTAACAAATTGTTTTCAGTTTCTATTGGAGATAACTTCGTCAAACATAGAAGTGCATTTCCGATACTCAATGATTCAAGAGTTCTTATAAGAAGGCCGTAGTCTCTACAGGTTAAGTGTTGGAAATTTGCAGCAATAGACATATTTTGGTCGCTAGAATAAGGATACGTAAGTATCTAACACGTATAAAAAACCGCATAAAAAAACGTACCGAAATCGAGTCGTACGATTTAACGGCCACAGGCTTTGATGCATATGCTAGGGTTGCTACTTTAACCTGCGTCGTATAGAAGTTATTCAAGGTTTTTTCGTTTTGTTTTGTAAAATAAATGCATTATTTTGAACCATGACCCTCTTGAGTTTTTATAGCTTGCGATTACGCATTTATACAAGTGCATTATGTGTATAAATATTTTTTTTATTATTATATAAATAATTAAATTATACAAATAGTTAACAATATATCTGGTTATTTTATACCTTTATATATATGTTCACAGCAAGTATGAGCCTGATACTATTCGATACAACATACACAGGGCCGGATTGGTTAGGCGAGCTACCGAGAATATCTCGGTGGGCCGCTTTCACTTTGGGGCGGTCGTGAGTGTGGGTGAAAATAAATTTATGTTTAAAACACGATTCGCTACCTATAAGCTCGTAATAATTATGGACGTAATTTGAGCCACTGAATATGTAAATGGGCCGCTTATAGAAGTGAAAATCTCGATGGGCCGGTATATACTAATCCGGCCCTGACCATACACATGTCTTTTCGTGAACGATCGTTTTATACCGATATGTAGTTACGCTCAAATTCATTTCTTAAGAATGTTGAATGTCTATGAAATATGCACATGTATAAATGCTTAATCGTACAAGTTTAAATGTAAAATGAATAATATTCCTAAACTAAGCGGGTTAAAGTAGCAATCCCAGAGTACGCAGCGTGTACGTAGCGCAGCCTGTGGCCGTTTAATCGTGCGACTCATTTAGGGAAGTTAACAGTTTTGAGTTTGGTCACCTTATTCTAGTCTTCATGGTCATTGGTCATATCAAATGTACTTTTATTTAAGTTCATAACTCTTAAGTCTAAGGTATCTATATATAACTATATAAGGCTCTACTATGCCACCATTTTGAGACTCAATTATCAATGAAAAATGATAAAATAAAGGGGGAGAAATCCGTATTCACATAAGATTATTAGTCGCAAAATGGCGGAGTAGCATACCTGTATCTATAGTGCCCTACTATATACAAACAACGTTTTAATCCGCCGTTTCCAGTCCATACTATCTAAATTCGTGTTTATTTGTATACAAATTATAAATTTTACTCGAAGGTAAAATAAAATTGACGAGGACCATGGGTTGCGGACTACAAGTACTGTAGCAAATAGATTTTTTAAAACCTGTATAGACTACGTCCACTTAGACTACACACTCAGTAATTTCCAATACAAAAACAGTGAATAAAACGCTGCTGGACGCGTTAGATTTATCAGATCCAATACCAAATACAATAATTTTATAAATTTAAAGGAAATAACGACTGCTTTCTACTATTTCTATGGTCCACTCGTCCATGTTGAGTATTTTAAAAATATTTTGTAATAGATGTTGAATACCATAATCATTAGTACCTATTAAATGTTAAGTCAACTACATACACAAAACCGTACCTTAAGAGCAGTTATCATTCATATTTGAAGAGGAAATTCTGAATCTTTAATGTATTGAAGCACTTTGAAATAGCATTCACGACATCAGCAGTAGGTATTTAATGATTTTAATGTTCCAAATAAGCAGCGATAAGTTATTTTCAATTTACTATAAAATAATGCAAAAGCCAACAGAACATCCAAACCATGTCAAACTAATTTAAATTTTATTAGTACAGAGCTATAAGATTGAAAATGTACATTGACATTTTCAGCAACACAAAAGTATTCAACTGAAATTTGTCAAGTGTTTTTAATAGTTAATTTTTTTTGAGCAAAAGGTGCCTAGTAGAGGTAGGCTATAGTCATGTTTTACAATCGCTGTAATAAAAATTTAATTAATTCTAAATTCTATTTTAACTTTTTTATGTACCTAATAAAATATGTTAAGCAATTAGTATTTTTATTTTACAAGTAATTTTAAAAATGGTCTATAAACATAATTATAAAATATTTACAAAATCAATATTAAAAAAAATGGCATGAAAGCTTTTTCATTTAAATATTTTCATGAAGTTGTTTTTTATATCGATTTTGTAATTATTTTAAATGGTCAGCTTAAGTTATTACCATTGATTATAAATACTATAATAATGTTACTGATCGGCAATTATTAAGAAATAAAATAATTACCTAAACACTGTTTTATCAATGACACAAAAATCCAACTATCTGAAAAGAATCTAAAATAAAAACCAACTCGCTTGAAATTTTATGTATGTCCGTACAGTGTATGTATCACTAGTTTCTTGTAAATTATTGAATATTATTAATTTAACTAACCAAACAAAAACAAGTGATGTATTCAAACTAGATTTGTATTTTGATCTGATAATTCATACCTATAATAGTTTAATTATATAATAAAATATAAATCCATAGGTAGGTACATCTAAAATACAATTTAGATATGGCATACAATTTAATAACCATAGTAATTGCTGTATTTGAAATTTATCAAGTGGTTATCTTGTGTACAACACTAATCAGTATTTGAACATTGAATCATCACACTATAATATCGAACCATTGTAACTACTACATTATTGGCTAATTTATCATGGCTTGATATTTTTATTTACTCATAAAAATAAGAATTAATTAAAGGTACATGCAACTATGCAAGAAACACTTTTTGCAAGTAACAAATATCATAATGTCTACCTAATAATAGATATTGTGGTAAATTTGATATAAGGAGAACACTGAACAAAAATTATAATGCGTATAGTAGATATATTTAAAATAACTTTTCAGTGATACCTATTAATTTCATTAGTTTTACAAAGACAATTTTTTGGTAGGTACTCTAAAAAGTAAAAGTTTCAAGTAGTTTTAAATCTATCGACTGGAAAGTAGAAACCAAATAATTGTAGATAATATATTCAAAAAAAAAATTTTTTTAATCAATAGTAAAATTCTTGAAGTATAAAGAAAAACTGCAGAAAAGAGTTTAACAAATTTAACAAAGCATGGTATATTTTTTTTTAACTTTTACCAATGATATTTTAATATTAGTTTTAAACATACCTTATTATTTATTTATTTTATAAGGATAGGTAGGTATTTATTACATAGGTAATAAGGTTATTATAGAATACCAAAAATTAAAACCTTAACTTTTATAGGAAGACATTTTAGATACGTAGGTAATAATAATAAATGATTATTAGCTTTCTAAACTAAAACATTTGATTATCATTTAGACTAATTAAGACTGTCGAAAAGCTACTATCAAATTCAACTTATTGAAACTAAAAGTTTTCGAGTAATGTTAGCAAATAATTTTATTCAATGTAGCAACTATCTGTAAGTACCTAGTTTAACATATTAATTTAATTACAGTAGGTAACAATTTAGTGTTAAGGTATTGCTATGAGTAAGTAGTAAGTAACTAGCTCAGTGACTACTTATTTTAATGTTGTTTTAAAAATATTTTCTCTGTAAAATGGTAATAAATGTTTGTAGTTTTATAAATACCTACATCTAATGGTAGTTAGGTAAAACAATATTAAAGTAAGTAACTCTAATACTTTTATTACTACTACCTAAGTCTATATACCTACTGAATTGTTTAAGTACCTACATAAGTATTACCTAAACAATTAAAGGGCTTGATCTTATTACTATTTTTATTATAAGTACTTCACACAGATAGGTAGATAACTAATAAAAACCATGGATAAGTATTAAACATGGGTACCATACTTATATACTATTACTTGAATAAATATTATTCCAATAAAATTTGATTAATTAATTGTATAGTTAGTATAGAAATTACTAATTAGGTATCTAAGCAATTTTAACGTAGGGACAGGGTATACGTTAAGTTATATTTATGTGTATATATTTATATAGTATAATACTTACATAATCATAAACTGGTATAATGTCCTTACCTACATATAGAATTAAGAGTTGATAAAGATCACTTTTGGATATCTATGTAATACTATCTATTTAAAATACTTTTTTATGCATAAGGTTTTTATTATTCACATAATTATTACTTCATAAATAACTACCTATTACAGCTGAAATTATTTTATATAAACGTAATCAATTTGAATAGTTTAATTAGTTTAGGTATACATTAATATTAGGTAACTATCAATTTATTTTTTTTAGTTTCAGATACCTAGATAGGTAGGTTGGTAATATACATAATATGCAATATCTTGTATAAAATATAAAAGTAAGCCATAAAATGATTCATTCATAATTTATGTCTAAATCACAATGGAATTAATAAGAAATAAAGATTTACTTAAACCATTGATTATTATATAATATAAGTAAGTATATTTTATAATCAATGCTTTAATATAATATCCCATGTCATACAGATATAAATGTTTTCTTAAATATTCCAATTAAAAAATTCTTTAATCTATACTAATAATTAAGCTAATAGGTACATACTACTAGCCACTTACTTTTAATACTTAATATTGCATAACATTAAGATATCTTTTAAAACATAATAAACAATTACTTAAATAAGTCTTATAAAGTTGAAAGAAAATTATATATAGGTACACTTAACCAAACACTTTTCTTAAATCAATGAACTAATATGGAACTGAAGATATTTTTTTAAATAAGTCTATTGAATTTTACATTTTTACTAAATAAAACAAAGTAATATGAATTGTAATATGTATGTGTAGTTAATCACATTAAAGTGCCTGTATGTAATAAAAATTCAGGAAAAAATTCAAAAGGTATATTCTTAACAGATAGACAAATTCACCTGTTGAATATCAGTTCTATGCCAGAAATTAAATACTAATTTTATTTTAATTACTTATGTACACAACATAATAATACAACTAAGCCATCCACAAACTTAGCATGGTATGTATTAGTTTGTATTTAGATATAAATAATATTGTTTACCTAATATGATTGCTGATT